AAGAAAACCTTATAAACTTCTTGCTCAAATGTACTATTAAAGTAATGTAGTATCTGAATAAGGTATAAGTTAACTAATTAAAATGCTAACTACTACATTAATACTTTATCTTAGTCCTGAAAGAATACAAGAAAACAGATACGAGGCACTCTAGGACACTCTAATCAAACACTCTAAGACGACGATATGTGATCATACGTTAAAAGTGCTTTTAACACAAGAAAGTCAGAAAAATAACACGAACTCCATAAAACAAAATAATTTGTCATTACTACTATTTGTAATAATTTGTATACATAAGTATATGTGAATTTTATAACTCTCCTATTCTCCTCTTCTCTTCTGAAAAGCCGTTATTTGCAGAAGTGGCTTTATTAGACCAAATATGTGATATTTTTAATTTTGTGAGCGAAAAGAAGTAAAGCTATATAAATGAAAAAAAAGAAACATCTGAAATGACCAGGCAATCTGTTACAGACAAAAATATTACAATTATTTCGTTAGTATACCCTTTATATATTGCGTACCAGTGCAGGGGTTAAATCACAATACAATAACGTCAAAATAACTGTACAAAACGTCCAAGCTTAGATTATTCGAGCGATAAAAAAATAAATTAAGTTTTTTTTAAAGTACATTACATACAAAATAGCTTACATACATGGAATCCGTCTTCCTTGATATTTAATCGACATCTGGATCACTTCCTCCCAAGTTTTTTTTTGACGTCGACTTCAGGAATTTCTAGCTCTCCAGTTTTATGACGTCAACATTCTTATATTCTAATCTCATTTTTACATAATCTAGCATTGTATGTAAAAAATAATGCTAGATTATGAAACTATTCATCAGCGTCCAAAAATATATATAAAAAAGAAAAGGCATATAGATACACATTTCTCCGCAGCCCTCAAACATGAATATCCATTAGAGTAGGTACGTGCCAAGAATTTGATGGTCTCCTGCATATTTTTAAAGACTGTACTTCGTTTTTTTTGGAATTATAAAAAACGTCAACATAGAACCAGTGATGATAAAACTATTTCTTCAGACTAACAAGTTAAACGAAATCGTCCTGAACATTTATGACAAATGACATTTATAAATGGCACGACAAAATTTATTTATTTTATGAAAAGTTTCCGTTTAGTGTTTGCAACCTCTGTGTCTTTAAGTTTTTGATAGTGTTTAAAACAGATTAAGTATGTAAAGAATTACATTCCACGATATTTATATGGCTTTGCTTACAGAATGAAATAGCGCCTGATAAAAAACCCAAAATTCCCTTCTATCTAATGCTATAATGCTAAAAAAAACGAAGTATTCCTGATCTCAAAGTATTAATTCTTTTTTCCCTAGTTCCCTATGTTAGGAGTACCAGAAAGAGTTATTACACTTATTAACACAGAATGGGTGAGAAAAAAGTGGCCGATACACCAAACATCTTTTTCGCTTTATTCCATACACATAAAGATTTTTTCACCAAAACACCCTGAACCAGAAACTAAGAATAGAAATTATTTCCTAAATTATATCCCGAAAACTTATCTAGGTCACCCTAGTCTTCCCTTGATAATATTGCAGGCTCATAGTGCAAGTAACTTAACAATCTTAAATTAACATTATTAACAGTTCTTAGGTCAAATTACTATAGACCAATTAATATAGGAATTCATCATTCATTCGCGATCTCGGCGGTTCAGCGGTTAGCACTGTGGACGCTAAAGGAGGAGATCCCGATTTCTGATCCTGGTGGGACCAGAAATCGGGACGAACTTTTCTAAAGTGATTTTATTCTGGGTTCATTGTTCTGGTACACAGGGTGTCTCTAGTTACCACGAGGAAATTTGCGAGGTTGTCGGGTATATTATTCTCAATCTTCGTTGGCATTATTAAATTATCGATAATAGTTTTAGTTTTCCGCTATAGCAACTCTTGTAAATAAGCTCTATACCGCGTTTTAAGCATATAAATCACGTAGTTATAATTTCAAAAGACTAACCAACATCGGTCCTTCGAGCCGGATCTGTGTTCGGAGCATGCTATGTGATGTTTATTTAGTAAATTATTTGCAAGAGTGCTGCCACATCAGAAAACTAAAAAGATAATTGTTTTACAGTTTTATGATGCCAATATCATACCATTTTTTATGCTAATTATTACTGTTATTTCATTTTTACAGTGTAGTTTAACTGCCAAATGTCACCTTTTCCAATAGTGGCGAAAGTACAACGTGTCTTATTAAATAGCACTTAAATTACGAATAGGAAGATTTCACATAAGACCTGGTAAGAGCGCGCAGTATAATGCCTAAATGTAGGTCGAGAGTTCTTTGTACATCATTCGTATTTTTACAATTTATAAGGTTGCGGAAAATCATGTCAAAATGTTTGTTTTTTTTTCTCGAATGACGTAATCAGATCACTCGATATTCCTAAATCTATAAATATAAGAAATATTAAGTATATCACATTATACACATAGTTTGCATATTTTAATCGCAAAGTTATTTAAACAAAGCACTTTAACAATAAAAGAACGGGCAAATTGGGAATCATACAATATTTATAATTTTTTTATTTTATTTCAAATATCTAAATTTCCTTCGTATAATGGAATATAATTTTGAAACTAACACAATATTTATTTCGAATTAATAAAAGACAAAAAAGTTTATTTATTCATCGATATTTTAAAGGGAATTATTTAGATTTTTTTTTTTTGTTAAATTCAAAATCGTATAACTCTGAAACGCGTACAACTAGAAAAAATTTTAACATAATAAATGAAAAAAAAATGTACATTGTAACAACGTACACTCAACGACGTGTAGTACGATGGGATTGGGAGTAACACTCTGTGCACAATGCTCTTGAACCAACTGAATTTATTATTTATATTTGGCCGGTCTACTTATGTCTGTCTGTACACAACAGTGGCGGAAGGTCAAGTTAGTAGACAGATGGAATAGTGATAAACAGATGGTGGCTAGGAAGATGCTCAGATGACGTCATCAATGTCGTGGGTCATAGATAGGTGAAACTAGCGCAAGATCGTGGTAATGGCATAAATTACTAGATACGAGGGCCGACTGGAAAGTAATATCTTACGACAATTTCAAATTTAAAAATAATACTGGCCACTATCGCGACGCATTTGTTGTTTATTCTTTTTTCGAAATTACTGACACTCTTTTGATTATTACGTTTCGCTTTGTTTGCACGAACAAAATAGCGGAAAAAAAGCAATTTTTTTTTAAATGAGCTACATCTTTTCTAAATTTTTTATTCCCTTTCTAACAAATATAATAAGTTCATTTCTAACTTCTATTTCCCATGTCCATTTCATATTAAAAAAAATGTAACCGTAATCATCTTTTATTTCATATCTATATAGATTACTTTTCAGCCGCCACTCGTACATACCCATGACGAACCTATGAACAGGCAAGTATATTTTGCATTGCATCGCTGGGGTACCTTCTACACTGGCTTACCTTTCTTAAATATCCACTCTTTGCCATCACACATTTGTAATTATAGTCAAAGCCGAAACTCTCAAATCATTATCAATCTATACTCTAGTCAAATTCGACATAGAATGTTTAATAACAAAACGTTGTTAGGCAACCAATTATGAAATAGGAAAAGAACATTTTACACAAACAACACGGCCAACTCGCGTAAATAGAACTTGGATAAGTCAGTAGGTAGGTTACGATATGCAGAAGTAACATTTACCTGGTCAATTGTTATAAAGGTTACAAAGTACGTATTCATACATATAATTTATGAATAAAATAATTAACTTTTTGATACCTGTTAATATTTACTGCTAGAGAGTAAATAAAAACAAACAAAATTGTAAGATTTTATTTTATATTAATTTACTACATATCTCATCTAGTATCAATTTCCGATTCTAAACTTGAATTACTACACGATTAATAAATGTTATTACGGATGACACAGGTTTATAAATAATTAATGAATTACAGGTGATTGTTTTGTTGGGTTCAGGTTATTTAATAGTAATACAAAACTTTTATAGAATAAATCTAATGGCTTAACCGAATTTCAGGGAAAAATATTGTAATTGTGGTAACCGTAAAATTCAGAGGTGGAAGCCTTGAAAGTCATACGTTTTTGTTTGTTGACATTTTATTCTACGTCGAATTTGGCTAGAGTACGTAAATAATTTAAAATAAATTATTAGCAGCTTTCACAACTTTCAAATTGTTTCGAGTCTTGTTAATTTACTCAATTTGCTACTAGAGTTAATTTTTGTTACTTTCGCACGCATAGTACAATCGGTATATCAATATTATCAATATGGTGAATGTGTCTTTTTGTAACCGTTAACAACGCTGTAGACTTGATATACAAATATTATACACGTGTATAATATTATAAAACGTATATATTATAATTTTACTGAGGTAGAGGTGTATAGAAAAATTTGTGCAATGACGTCTATTCGGGTAAACGAAAACTTAACTTAATCTAACTCCCGTGCACGTCAGAGAAAAAAGAAAATGGCTGGTCTTTGTAGTTAAGTTTATTCACATATAATTTTAAGTTTAAGTGTAATGGGTTGGGTTGAAGAAAAATAAAAATCTAAGATATGGCAGTATAGCTTATTAGACGCCTTAGCCTGTCCCTACAATTTTTTTATTAATACTTAGTGCACGTCACTTTCGCCGTTCCTTTGAACAAATAAAGACGATATAATGTTAGATTAGAGCTTTCAAATTTCGACAACACCATATAAATTTCGCGATGCAAATCGGCTAGCATCTGATGTTTTTCTTAGTGACAAAGACAAGAGATAGACGCACTGAACTAACATTAAGTTAGTTTTCGTTTGCCCGAATAGACTCCTTTACACGTCATTGTTTAAACTTGAAATTGAATGGACAAATAAAATTTCGCAATCTTCCTATATACATTCAGTGCGTCCAAGAGCCAATTATTTAGGTACTTAGCTACATATGACAAGGTTCAGAGCGGTACATATTCTCTGATTTGTTGCAACGTCTCCGGATCTGTCGATTGAATGAGGCGGTCGAAGGTTTCCGCTCCCACTTGATTCTTCAACGTTTCTAACTGAAAAGAAAATGACTTTGTAACTTTCGCGACTTGATATCGTCGATGTTATGTAAGTAGGGTGAAAGCGTAATTTCGAAAAAAATTTCATGGGAGCATGATTTACTTTTCACAACTGTTTTAAAGTATTTACGTAATTACGGGCACTGATGCTAGTGAGCAGCCTGGCCGTATGACAGTTTTTCTTTAGTCTGTTTCCACAGCTCTTTGTTAGTAGATATAATGAAAAATTTAGAGACAATAATGAATTTTCATACATATTTTGCCGTCCTAGGCCAGTAAAGAGTTAAATAAATGACACACTTTCTGGCTCAACTCACACTGGCGCAGAGTCGATGCGTCGCGACGCGTCATATTTTTTGGCCTATAGGATATTCATCCCTATTTTACCATCATTAAGGTACAAATTTCTGTTATGCAAGTATGGATAAAGTCGAATAACTAATCAAATAACTTGGTTAAAGTCGAGCTGTTTACGCCGTGCGTTCCTTGCGCGCAGTGAGGCGTGAGACGCCGACCACACTGTGATCCGGACGCGCTAATGCGAGAATCGTCGCGCGTCGCCATGTGTTGTAGTTGAAAAGCAGGACGCGACACGACGCTACGACTCTGGGCCAGTGTGAGTTGAGCCTTAGTTATTTTTTTGAAATGAATGCAACCATTTCCGAGCATGTTTGAGAAAAGCACTATAAATGCCTCGGAAGGAACAGGGATTGCTCGCCTCGTCCAGCAATCCCTTTTCCGGGCTCTGCAATAATGTAGTAATTGTTTATATCAGTGAGGATCATAATTATCCATCGAGAATATAACCAGAAATAGAGACAAAATGTCATTTAATTTGTTTGAAAACTATTCTGCCAAATCATTACAGTGACAACTGAGCCCCGATTGGCCAGCTCCAATTCGAAACAATTGATGGGTGTCGTCAAATGTTTCACTTCAAATCGACCAGTTTAACTTGAGCTTTGGTATAATTAACGAAAATTGAAAAATTACATGTTTAATATGTAATTAATAATAATAATAATAATAATAAAATCTCTTTATTGCCTCCAATGTAAACAGAACTTGTACAAAAAAAACGATAATAAATAAAACTTAAATGACAAATAAACTTATATTAAATGACGTAATAAACAGGAGGCAAAAGGAGATGTCTCAGCTGATGCTGCTAATTATCGATGAAATATGATTCCGATTGTTTTGTAATCAATGATATTATACTTGTAAACAATCCGCCTTCAAACGGTACCCACGGCACTGTTGTCCACAGGCATCAGTGACATCAGTCACCATCTTGAATTCGAGTGAGTACAACGTCACCGAGACGTGACAAAAAAGTATCAAAAATGGTGAAATATGTAATTAAAATTTGCAATTCTCGGTTCGAAAATGATTATAAAACTACTGAGGTTACATTCCACAGGTAAGCTTGCTTTTGTTTGTTTAGATTGTCGTAAATAAAAATAAAAATGAAATAAATTTATTTTAAACATCAATGTTGCCAGAAAATCAATTTTCATTTGCCCATAATATTGGGAGTTAACCTTTCTGAAGTTACTTTTGACTTCGTAGTCAAAAGTGATTTTAATTCAAGTTTATTCGTCGTAACGTTTTAACGTAAAGTGTAACCATAATATTAAGAATACGTAATACTATTAAAAATGATATTTTGTTTGTTTACCAGTATACCTAAAGACAGAACGCGCAAGGCGGAGTGGTTAAAAATTATACGACTTTTACGAAAAGATACTTTGAGTTGTTACTCAAAGTATCGTTTTAAGGTAAGTATTACAAGAAATTTGTAATACTTACCTTTTTATAAATTTGTTTTCGTTAAATAGAAACAGAAACTTTGTCGGAAGACAGTATTTTTATCACCTTTATCCAATAAATAAAAAATACTAGAAAAGCAATGAATTAGAAAGTCATCTCTTCATATTTTATAAGAACTATGAATTCCAAGTGTGGACCCTTAAGTTCATGCATTTTCATGTAAATTTCACTCACTCGTTCATTCCATTTCTGATTACTCTGATCTCCACTGTCTCTTTCCACCAGCAAGGTTACAAGAAATTAGAGAAAACTATTTCTAAACCGGTAACCCTGGTCGTTTCCCTTAATGCACTATGACTATCTCATTTTGACATAATAAGGTTGACATTAGAAAAAAGAGACAAATATATTTTTCTTTGAAATTTCAATCAGTTTCAAAGCTAGTCTTTAAATTTGCAAAGTGGTCCCACATTTTAGACAACTGTTTGTAGGACATTGCGTATCTATTATTTATGCTCACTGTTTGTAATTAATTTGCTGTTTTTCCCACACCACCGAATGGAACAGCCATCCATAGTTAGAGATGTTATCTTTATTACAATAAATACAGAAAATTTTTGGAATATACGAAGGCGTACACACAGGTCAGTCATTGGCGCTGTACTATTTGAGCTTTCTAATTTGTAATTTCAGTGCAAACGAGAGTCGACATTTAAAAATTATTTAAGGCTCGTTTGCCTGGTGAGTTGCCAAAGATGGATGGCCCTTATTTCGTCTCTATTTCTGGTTATATACTCGATGCAATTCTCCCTTGACGTTGCATTTGAAATAGGAACAATATCACGTCGCGTACCTGGTGGTGCGTGACGACGCGCAGGTCGATGCAGTGCGCAGGGTGCGCGGCGGCCAGGCGCCGGCGCCGCTGCTCGTGCGCCGAGTCGGGCGCGCCCGCCTCCTCCCAGCGCGCCGCGCCCCCGCGGCCCTCCAGCGGCGACGGTGGCCGCGAGCCCGGCGGCGCCACCAGCCCGCTGCCGACACACACGCGCGTCCACAGTCATTCAATGAAATTTGTGCCTACGTGCCTGCTTACACTGTCATGTGTATTTTCTGAGTTTTATATAAACATGTATAACGCGGGCAATCTCCCACCTTACCGCTCCACGCATAGTGGCTCCACCTGTGAAGGAAGGGAAGAACTCTTCCTTCGACTCCCGTCGTGTCTCGCCGCCAATGATCGAGTTGAGATGAAACATGGCGCGAGCACGCATTTTACCAGCACGTTATAAAGAATAACTTGTAGATTCGTTATTAAATTGTTTGTACTAAGTGCCAAAAATCCAATAAATACTAAAGTTGCAAATTGACATTGAAATTTTTTCTCCTACACAGCCACGGACGCAAAAACTATGATGGAAACACACACCCACCAAACATGTAAATTAATTCAGACTAACGTTGTAATCTATCATTTAGCCGTTGTCTAAATAATCACTACAAACATTTTTGCTTTGTATGTCCATGCATGGCGCTGGCATCATTTTCTTTGGCCATAAAAACTTTATATAATATTTCAGAACTCGAAATACATTTCATAAAATCTGAAATTTACTTCAAAACATATTTAAAAAAAACAGTACAGAAAATGAACTTAGGTATGCACATGTTTACGAAATAATACTTCCCGCATTAACCACCAACGGAAGCAATCAAAGACGCCTAATAACTTAATATATGTTATAGTTACAATGTATTTATTATTATTATGAACAGATTTGCTATTGATCTCCAATTCCATGAGCCAGAAAAACGTGCCGCTTCAATTCCCATACAAATTCGACAT